GACTTTTAAGCGACTCTTGGATAGGCACATGGAGGATAGTAAAATGTAGGGTATGCAGGGTAGATTGGTCTTAGTAGGATAATAGGTCGGCACAGCATCATGGGCTGAAGGGCCTGTACTGTGCTGTGCTGTACTGTTCTATGTTCTATGTTCTATGTTCTATGTTCTGGTGCAACCTTCTTGTACAGGTCCCACCTTCCCCAGAAGGTATCCCAGTGATCCACATATCCTACACCAGCTGTGTAGCCATGTGTTCAGCTGCATTCACTCTCTATTCCTAGCCTCACTAGCCCGTGGCAGCGGTAGTAATCCTGAGATTACTACTCTGCTTGTTCTGACTTTTAGCTTCCAACCTAACTCCTTACATTCACTTTTCAGGTCCTCATCCCTTTTCCTAGTTATGTCATTGGTACCATTGCGTACCACAACTTCTAGCTGCTCACCCTCCCCCTTCAGAATCCTGTAGGTTCGATCCGAGACATCCTTGACCCTGGCACTCGGAAGGCAACATTGCATTCAGGGGTCTCGTTCGCGATCACAGAATCTCCTGTCTGTTCCCCTAACCACTGAATCCCCTATCACCATCGCTCTCCCATTCTCCACCATTCCCTTCTGAGTCATAGACCAGGTTCAGTGCTAGAGACCTGGCTGTTATGGTTTTCCCCTGGTAGGTCGTATCCCCCAACAGTATCCAAAGCGGTATACTTATTATTGAGGGCAACGGCCACAGGGGATCCCTGCACTCTCTGCCTATTCCTTTTCCCTCTCCTGGCTGTCACCCAGCTACCTTTATCCTGTAACTTGGGTGTGACAACCTCCCTATAACCACCTATCTATCACCCCCTCAGCCTCCCAAATGATCCGGAGTTCATCCAGTTCCAGCTCCCTAACGCGGTCTGTGAGGAGCTGGAGTTGGGTGCACTTCTCGCAGGTGAAGTCAACAGGGACACTAGCAGTGACCCTTCCCTCCCGCATCCTACAAGAGTTTTGTGAAAAGAAAATCTCATTTAACCAGTCTGCTGGAGATTTTTGATAATATGCAGCGGATCAAAGAGAACCGGTCAATAAACTGTACTTAGATTTCCAGGAGGAAAATGATTTAGTGCCACATAAAAGGTTACTACAGAAAGTAAAAGCTCATGGTCACACAACACTGAGTGGGAGGGTGAGCTTTGAGGAGGATGTAGATATGTCTCGGTGTGCTTTGGACAAGTTGAAAGAGCGGGACAATGCAGATGAAGTATAATGTAGATGACTGTGAAGTTATCCACTTTGGGAGCAAAAACAGGAAGGCAGATTTTACCTGAATGGCAATAAATTGAGAGAGGGAACGTGCAACAAGACCTGGGTGTTCTTGGACACCAGTCATTGAAAGTAAGCATGCAGGAACAGCAGGCAGTGAAGAAGGCAAATTGTATGTTTACCTTCATAGTGATAGGATTTGAGTACAGGAACAAGGGTGTCTTGCTGCAATTGTACAGACTGTAACTGGAGTACTATGTCCAGTTCTGGTGTCCTTATCTAAAAAAGGATGTTCTTGCTACTGAAAAGATTTACCACACTGATTCCTGGGGCGGCAAAGATATATGAGGAAAGGTTAAATAGGTTATGATTATATTCACTGGAGTTCAGGAGAATAAGGGGGAATCTCATAGAAACCTATAAAATGCTAACAGTACTAGGTGGGTTAGATGCAGGAAGGATATTCCTGATGACAGGGGAGTCCAGAATCAGGGGTCACAGTCTAAGAAAATCATTTAGGACTGAGGTGAGGAGAAATTTCTTCATTCAGAGCATGGTGAGCCTGTGGAATTTTTGACCACAGAAAGCAGTTAAGACCAAACACCATATGATTTCAGGAAGGAGTTGTGTCTATCGCTCTGGGCTAAAGGGATCAAAGGGTATGGGAGGAAAGCTGGAACAGACTTTGAATTGGATGGTCAGCCTTGATCCTCACGATTGGTGGAGCAGAATCGAAAAGCCGAATGACCTAATCTACTCCCATTTTCTATGTTCTATGTTTCAATGTAAACTGCAGCACATTGGCATGGATAGAAGGTTAGCTATTACCAGGAAGCAGAAAATAGGCATAAAAAGCATCTTTTATCAGGTTGGCAAGATATAACAATTGGTGTGCCACAGGGTTCCGTGTTGCAACTTCAAATGCTTATAATTTGTAATTATGGCCCTTTATAAATGATCTGGATGAAGGAACAGCAGATATAGTTGCTAAATTTGCTGACAACCTAAAGTTCGGCAAGAAGACTAAAGCAAAAACAGAAATTGCTGGAAAAGTTCAGCAGGCCTGGCAGCATCTGTGAAGAGAAAGTAGAGTCAACATTTTGGATCTAGTGACCCTTTTCCAGACCCATTTGAAGAAGGGTCACTGGGCCCAAAACGTTAAATCTGCTTTCTCTCCACAGATGCTGTTAGACCTGCTGAGCTTTTCCAGCAATTTCTGTTTTTCTTTCTGATTTCCAGCATCCAGAGTTCTTTGGTTTCTTTTTAATGTAGGAAGGCAAGTTGTGAAGAGGATGTAAGGGATATAGATAGATTAAATCATTGGGTAAAGATCTGGCAAATGGAGTATAACGTGAGAAAATGCGAAATTATCCATTTTGGCAGGAAGAATAAAATGGTATATGATCTAAATGGTAGGAGATTACAGAACACTGAGATGCAGAAGGATCTGGATAACCTTGTGCATGAAGTGCAGAAAGCTAATATGCAGGTGCAACAAATAATTAGGAAATCTGATAGAAATTTATGGTTTATTGTGAGGAAACCCGAAAACGAAAAGAGCAGGGTGAGAATTCAGGAATAGAGGGCACTGGGGAGAATGCATCTGGAGTATTGTGTACTTATTTAAGGAAGGATGTACATACTTTGAAAGCAGTTCAGAAGAGGTTTAAAAACAGAAGTTGCTGGAAAAGCTCAGCAGGTCTGGCAGCATCTGTGAAGAAAAAGTCAGAGTTAACCCTGTTCTGAGGAAGGGTCACCAGACCTGAAATATTAACTCTGATTTTTTCTTCACAGATGCTGCCAGACCTGCTGAGCTTTTCCAGCAACTTCTGTTTTTGTTCCTGATTTACAGCATTCACAGTTCTTTCGGTTTTTATTCAGAAAAAGTTTACTAGGCTAACACTTGGAATTGGTAGGTTGGCTTACCGAAAAAGTTGGACAGGTTAGGTCTGTATTTGCTAGAATTTAGAAGGGCAAGAGATGACTGGATTAAAACAGATATGATCCTGAGGGGTCTTGACAGGGTAATTGTGGAGAGGATGTTTCTTTTGAAAAAATCTAGAACTAGAGAACAGTTTAAAATACAAAGTCCCCATTTAAAACAGAAATGACATGGAAGTTTTTCCTCACACAGGATCATGAGTCTTTGGATTTCATTCCAAAGACAAGCTTTTTTAATTTATTCACAGAATAAGGGCATCTTTGGCTAGGCCAACATTTATTGCCCATCCTTAATCACACAGAGTACAGTTAAGAGTCAACCACATTGCTGTTGGTCTGGAGTCACATGTAGGCCAGACCAGGTAAGGATTGCAGTTTCCTTCCCTAAAGGACATTAGTGAACCAGACAGGTTTTTCCTACAATCAACAATGTATTCATGGTCATCATTAGACTCTAAATTCCAGATTCTTATTGAATTCACAATCCACCATCTGCCAAGGCAGGATTCAAACCCAGGTCCCCAGAACATTACTTCGGCTTCTGGATTAACAGTCCGTTCTTTCCCTTATGACTGATGGGCAGGAGTGGCAGGCTAGCCATCAGCTTCTCAATCACTGGTAAAACACTCGTGGTAATGGTATGTCAACCCCCATCACCAATCTCCCAGTATGTCTTCGCCAGCCCACCTGATTTTACACCTTCTGACTCCCAGCCTGCCCACAATGATTATTTCAAACTCCACCCAATATTTGCAAAAATACTCTGTGACCTCAAATCGTTAACGTACAAAGCCCAAAACATTCAACCACATTTGCAATGCCCTATGAGTTCAGCCTGTACTGCTGACCTCACTTGAAATTTGAATGTTAAAGAAAACATTTGATTCATGCCATGTGTGTAGAAAACAGCTGTTCAATGGTGTTTATTTCTTCCATTTGGTAGGTACTTAATGTATAGATTTACAATGTATATAACAGCACCTATGTGGTTAGATAACAATAATCGTTCAAGTCACTATAACCCTAGAGGATCATAGGAACGCTTTCTCATTAGACAGCGATGACTCGTGGTGATTTAACTTGAGGATCACAACACCTCAAGCAAGGGGGAGAGATTAAAAAGGAGAGTCCTTATGGTAACCTCAGCCAGTGCAGGAATTGTACCCACGCTTTTGATGTCACCCTACATCACAAACCAGCTGTCCAACCAACTGAGCTAAACAAGTACTTGCAACATGTATTAATTTAATATGCATAAATGTAAAAATTGATGAGAATTAACAGACAACAAAAGCAAAATGCGAGGCTCATGTTCCTCCCCCAAAATGAAAGATTGCAAATACACAGCACAAACCCATACACAGCAAGGGCACATACAAACTCAATGAGTAAAAACTCACAAGATCCTGCAAACCAATAGAACATAGAACATAGAACATTACAGCGCAGTACAGGCCCTTCGGCCCTCGATGTTGCGCTGACCTGTGAAACCAATCTGAAGCCCATCTAACCTAAACTATTCCATTATCATCCATACGTTTATCCAATAATAGAAAAAAATACGAAAGTAACAGTCAGAAGCAGATCAAATCAAACTACCCCTACTACAACTTAATAACACAACCCTCATAACGCCTTCCTTGGATAACCTATTCTATTGAACTGTTTGCCTATACGCTTAGACTGAATTCAATCATCTAAATGTTTTGTAGATCAATGAAATTGTCTCAAAATCTCTAACACCATCACCCAAAAAGCCCCAGCTCACAAAGCAATAATGAAGAAAGGCATGAAGCAGAAATGTATACAATACTTACAGCACCCTTGGGACCAGGCTTTCCTCGATCACCCTAAAATAAAGCAAGGCAGGGAGTTGTATAGAAATAAAGAAAGAACAAGTGAGCTATACATCAACTGTCAAGCTGTGATGACTTTATTCAAGTGTGACAGCATTTTTATACAAAGGCATAACGGCAATCATTGCTGGTGCTGTAAAAATCATGGAAGTAATAAGACATAACAGCATCAGTTTTTAATACATATTATTCACTGGTAATGAATATGCATTTTGAAAACATGCCAATCTGTAAAGTGATACAAAGTTAAAAGTATACTCTTGAATATAGGTGTATTTTGATTCACTTTCCCATCTTATATTGAGACTATATCACACATAAACAGGCACACAATTCAAATGACACAATTCACCCCTCCTCATCTCCCTGCCATTTGACATCATTCTTTTTTTACATCTAGAAGTGCTCTTACGCACAACCAGACAGTTGTCTTTTTTTCTCCCCATCACTAAGTCATGGTGCTTTTTCATCTACTAACCACCACAAGTAAAACTTCTGTGGAGAGAAAGCAGAGTTAATATTTCAGGTCCAGTGACCTGTCTTCAAAGACGATAAAAGGCAATGCGGGCCATTAAAGGTGAAGGAGAAGTAGGGAGAGAGGGAGAGCGATAAATCAAAATGGAGTTAGAAGGGGAGTAAAAGCACTCCAGCTCACTGTGGTGCCCAGCTTTCCTTGAAAGCATCGAAAGTGTTGGCAGACATCACATGCTTCCTCTCCCTGGACACCCAGGCACAAATGTAGCCACAGAAGAGGGGCAGGCAGTTGGCAGCTATGACCCCTGTATAATTCATTATACCCTTCTCCCTCATGTAACTCATCTGAAGTCTGCTTAAACATATTTCTGCCTCAACCATTCCCTGTAGCAGCAATTTCCAAATTTTAGCTATTCAATAGCTAAAGTGATTTCCCCTGAATTCCCAATTGATAGAAATGGGAGGGCACACTGATGAGAGTATGGGATGGCAAATGGCTTGTCAAGGTTACAAAAACCAGCACAGAACGATGGGGCTGAATGGCCTATTTCTGTGCAGAACACTATAGAACTCTGCATTGAAAAGGATCAAGGATATTACATTTAATATGCTCTTCAGTTGGTACAGTTATTCATTTATTGTTTTGTTTTTAATTTTGTGAATCCACTACAAAACTGACTAAGTAGGCAGTAAAGAGTTGTCATTTTGAGGAAGAACTCTGCAACTGGCTGCAGTACCATTTTGTTTCCATCAGTGGTGCTGTTCAATCAGGGTGTGCCACAGCAGCACCACATGACTAAATTATATACTGGCTAATCCTTGTCCTAATTGCAAACACACACACATTGTACTTCTTAGAATGTAGAGACACACACACAGGATTTTTCTGCTTTACAATAAACAGGTAAATTGCCTAGCTATCACTTACAGCCACAAAGGAAAGTCCCCACAATCTCATCACTAAAAATAGACAGCTGCAATTGCTATTGAGACAAGAAGTATTTTTAATTATAATTATTGCCATTTCTTACCATCTCACCCTTGGGGCCATCAATACCTTCTGCACCAGCAGGACCCTGAAGAGATTTGTTTTAACACATTAAAAATCAGTGCGTAATATTTTAACATAAATATTGAAGGGACTGCATCATAATTTTAATACAATTCAAACCAAGAACTTACTTGTTCACCTTTACCACCAGACAAACCTACAGCACCCTGAAAACAAACAAACAATATAACAATAAATGAAACAGATTTTCCAGATTGGAAAACATTTATTGAGAGGAATAGATAGCTAATCTGATGCATAAAAAGACAGGTAGAAAACACTAAATTTCCTGAGAGAGAAACAAAGATAAACAAATACAGGACAACGTCTTAGTCCAGATTTTGCAAGAATGACAGAAATGAGCTGGAGTTATCTTCAATGCACGTTTGGTGAATTGATAGCTTCTTTCTCTCAATGTGAATTAATCATGGATATGAAGAAAGGGTACATAGGGAGCTGTTACTGCCTTGTGGTATGTTGCATATTGGCTGGAGAGCAAGAGATGGAGGTGAACAAGCAATTCTTAAAAAGACAGCAGTTGAGGTGAAAGGGAAAGTTAAGATGCAAGCAATAATGGAAGTGAACTTTTTGGTTGCAGCAGACTCAGTGATAGAGCTGGAGACCCTACCAAAGGATCTGTTTGCTGTTTTGGAGGTGGTAACCCAGCCACAACAACAACCACTTAGGATTCCAACAAAATGCACATCTCTACTTCCATGGGGGCTTGCATCATGAAGTCCACAGCCACTAATCCACAGTATTCTCCTGGTGCTCATAGTGATCCCACTTTGTGACACACAGTCCCTGTATGACCTGAGTCAATGGACCAACTTCCGATTGGCAGTGACAGGGATTGGGAGCAGCTGTGGTTGTGGGCAGGATTTGAAAACTGTGCTCCCAGATCTGTGGCCCACCACCTCTGACACAGCTTATCATTTTTGGAGGTTCTGCAGGGGAAAAGGAATGGGACTCACCAGCATGTCACTGCCTCCTAAAGCTCTCAAAGAAATTAAAGGGCCTGGCTAGAACTGATTGAGATTTTTAATTGTTTTACCAAATCAAGTCAAACAGTCTGAGACATGTTTACATACAGATGTTGGGGCAAAAGAAATGCCATTTCCATTTAAATTTTAGTTTCATGGTTTTAAGGAGTCAATTGTACTGCAACGTGGCAACCATAACTACTTTTTGCTGTCCTTAAACCACCATGTCCTTCCTAGGAGCTGCCTACTCTCCTCTGCAAGGCTGCAACAGCCCCCAAAATGGCTGCCACCTGCCTTTGCTTCTCGCTCCAAACAGGCACCTCCTAGAGATCCACAGCTCTTCTAAATGGGCATTGTGTATGCCCTGAGCCCAATAAGCTTATTGCCACTTAGAATCACCGCCAACCCATATATAGAGTCAAGATGCGGAATTCTTCCAAGTGTCAAATTTCTGATCCCAATTTATAATTTCAATTGAATGAGTTTAATGAAATGGAAGACTGTGAAGTGCCACCTTGGCAGTAACAGAGGTGGGCAAGACCAGCAAGTCTCCCAGCCAAGAACATGGATCTTTTTCACAGAGCAAGGTCTGTAGGAGAAAAAAAAGATGCTACCCAGGCCATGGAGAAAGGAGAGGTCACAAAAAAGATGTAATATTGGTAGGGAGGAGGTATCAGAAAAGCTGTCTGTTCTTAGAGAGGAGGAGATGTATCCAAGGATACTGAGGGAAATGAAATGAGAGTGGAAATTGAGGAAACATTGGTCATAATTTTTCAATCTTCCTCGTAATTGTAGGTAATACCAGAAACCCACAGAATTGCAAAAATTATACCCTTGTTCATAAAAAGGGTAGCAAGGTAAGCTTAGCAAATCTCAGTGTTGAATAAACTTCTGAAACAGTAATTTGGAGCAAAATTAACAGTCACATGGACGAAGAGATTAATGAAACAAAGCTGGCATAGATTTCCTAAGGAAAATTATGTTGATTTATCTTGGAGTGAGTTGATGAGGACGATGCAGTTGATGTGGCATACATGGGCTCCCAAAGGGCATATGATTCAGTACCATATATCAGACTTGAGGATATAGCTCATATAAAAAAAAAGGACAGCAGCAACAGGAGTATAAAATTGGCTGAGTATGAGGAAAACAGAGAGGAACAGTCAATGGATATTTTTTGGACATTGTAAACAGTGAGGAGATCAGTTTAGAACTTCAAAAAGACATTGACTAGTTGTTGGAGTGGCCAGATATGTGGCAGATGACGTTCAATATGAAGTGATTAATTTTAATAGGGAGAACATAGAGAGACAATATAAAATAAAGGCCACAACTCTAGAAAAGGTGCAACAGCAGAGAGACCTGGCTATGTGTGTGTACAAGCCATCAAAAATGTCATGACAGGTTAAGGGATCAGTTAATAAAGCACAACTTTGACAATGTTACATATAATGTTTCCTTTAAGAATGAAACAGGGTATACTCTAGACATAATAGAGAGAAGCTGATGCTCACTGGAGCAGAGATAGTAGGAACTGCAGATCCTGGAGAATCTGAGACAACAAGGTGCAGAGGGGTCTAGGCCCGAAACGTCAGCCTTCCTGCTCCTACGATGCTGCTCACTGGAGCGTACATTTAAAGGCTATTTTGTGTATGTTAAAAAAGGGACGGTTTGTAAGGCTCCTGTGGTGCAGTGATAACGTCTCTACCTCTGAGCCAGAAGGCCTGAGTTCAATTCCACCTGATCCAGAGGTGTATTATAAAATCTCTGCATGGGTTGATTAGAAAATATCTGTAGATACAGAATTTGGGAAGAGGATCCAAGAGGCTCTTGAGCAGTTTGACAAAAAAAAGGGGCTGGTTTGTATGACCCTTGTAGTGCAGAGGTAGTATCCCTACCTCTGAGCCAGGAGGCTTGGGTTCAAGTCCCACTTGTTCCAGAGGTGTGTAATGACAGCTCTGAATGAGTTGATTAGAAAATAAAGAAAAGGCTGGTTTGACCCTTTATGGATTTTGCATGTAAACAAATCAATTGGAAAACACAATTCTTTACTAGTAGAGGGTTAATATATGGCAAAAAAACTCAGTGATCTGCATCGCCCTTGCCAGGCATTGCATGTAATTTAATTAACTGGAAAATACAGGTGATTTAGTGGTGATGACTAACAGTATAACAACGAGTATTCTAGGCTGTATTAATCAAGCTATATAGTACAAGAGAAAGGAAATCATGTTGGACTTGTTGGGCCGAAGGGCCTATTTCCACACTGTAGGGATTCTATGATTCTATGATGATTCTATGTTGCTCTGATTTAACGCTCTGGTTCAAATCAACTGGAGTATTACATCCACTTCTGGGTGTCACACTGTAGGAAGGGTGTGAAGGCACTAGGGAGAGTGTAGAAAAGATTTGTTCTGGGTATGAAGAATTTCAGCCTGGTTTCCTTGGAGAAAAGAATAAGGAGAGTAGACCTGATCAAGGTGCAGTGGTAGTGCACCTTGAGTGGTTTGGACAGAATACAGAGGGAGAACCCACTCATGAAGGGATCAAGAACAAGACAGCACAGATTTAAAATAATTGGTAAAAGCAGGAAAAGTTATATGAAAAACATTATTTCACATAGTGGGTGGTTCACTGCCTTTGAGTGTGGTGGAGGCAGGTTCATTTGGAGCATTCAAAAGGGATTAGACTGTTAATTGAAAAGGAACAACTTGCAGGGAGAATATAAAGTGATTTGCTCATTCAAAGAACTAGTACAGACATGTTGGGCTGAATGGCCTCCTTCTGCACTGTAACCATTCTGTGAGCCTGGGTATCACAGAATGATACCAAAAAAATGTACCATTCAGCCCTTCATTACATTGCTCGTTCTTAGAATCACCTACCCAGTGAGGCCCACTGTCCCACTCTTTCCACATAGCCCTGCAAATTTTTGGCTCTACCAGTACTTACCCGATTAATTTTTTTAAAGTTAATATCAATTTGGTACTTGGAATGACCATCATCTTGGGTTCTCTGCTTCACTGAGCCTCCATCATGGGCAAGTTACTTCATTAGAAATCATCAGGAAGTGGGAGAAACATATATTCCTCAGGGGACACATAAATCATAGGAAGCTAATAACATGCAGCTAGCTGGTCTACTGCCTGACATAATGTATCAGTATGAAGGTTCAGGGTCCACATAATAGATAATATTTAATGCTGTTGTAGTGCAATGGTAGGGTCCCCACCTCTGGGCAAGGAAGCCTGGTTCAAGTCCCACCTGCTCCAGAGGGGAGTCATAAACCTCTAAAAAGGTTGAGAGTCACCAGCACTTACACTGTATGTATGTTTTAGGCGCAATGTGGGTGGTCAGCCATTTTGCCCTTCATGAAAGGAGATAACTCAGGCCCTGTTAATTGACCCAGTACTCATTTTTTGTAGCAGACACAGCATGGAACTGATAAGGTACCTCACAGAAGGCTTTCTGCAAGCAATTGGAATTATGATGCAACAGAAAAATTAGAGCATGGACGAAAAATTTCCAGTAGATGGGTCTATTTGAATTGATGAAAGAATTGGAACTGATGTACTCCAGTGGTGAGTACTGGGTGATACAAACATATATAATTGGAGCAGATGTAAACCACTATATCTCGAGCCTGTTCCACCAATCAATAAAATCACAATGGACCTGTTTATATGTCAAATTTCACATTCCCATGGCTTCATTAGGGTTTAGAAAAATGAAAGGAGGTTTATTTGAGGTATATGAGATACTAAAAGGGATTGACAAAGCCAACATCAATTGGATCTTTCCCCAGAACGAGAGGCTAAGGGGTAACAGATTTAAAACAGAGATGGGGAGGAATTATTTCTCTCGAAGGGTCATGAATCTGCAGAATAATCGGTTAACAGGGTTATGGAGAGCGGGCAGGAAAATGCAATTGAAGACGAAATGAGGTCACCCATAGTAGTATTGAATGGTGGAGCAGTCCTGAGGGACTGAACTGCTCTCTCCTACTTGTAGTTCTTATATTCATACTTGATTCCCTTGTCAAACAAGAATTTATCCACCCGTTTTAAAAATATTCAGTGACCCCACCTCCACCACCTTCTGAGGCAGAGAGTTCCAAAGTTGCAGAACTCTCTGAGAGAAAGAAAATGTCATCTTTGTTCTAAGAGGGTCTGCTTTTCTTCTAAAGGTTAATGGAAGATTTAGATGTGGGTACAATTTCTGAATTTGTTGACGGTTCAAGAATAAGACGATGATATTAGCAAATTGTGAGGACATTAAATAATATGGTTTTGAGGAAAACATGAAACAGGAGAATCTACTCAATAGAAAGATGTAGTTGAAGGATTTATAGGACCAGGAACCTAAACCAAACAGAACTAAATTTCTAAATCTGTGAAAGCAGGCAAATAAAATCACTGAAAAAGGCCAAAGATATTTTGAATAAAGGCACAAAGTAATTATAATAGATCTGCACTAAGTGGTTAGTGGACAGAGAATATTAAATACTGTATTAGACAGCTTATATTGCAGAGGACTAGAAAGACATTGAGAGCCTGCAGCATTATTTCACAGTGATGATATAAGTAATGGGAAGAGATTTGAAGTTACTTCAAGTAGAGAAGATTAAGTGGAAATTTATTTGAGATTTTTAAAACAATAAGGCATTTTTACTTGGGTGACAGAGGAAAGGCCAATTCCTCCTGGCTCACGTTTTAGTGATGAGAATGTTCATCAGTCATGAGTGGAAAAAGCAAGGAGAAATCTCTTTGCATGTAGTGTTGTTGGACTGGGGGTTGCTTAAACACAGCGAGAAGCTGAGGCACAGATCATCACATCTTTTAATGGAAGAGTAAACAAATGACAGAAGAACACACAGTTTTCTGGGAGAACACAAGGCTATGAGTTTAGTTTTAGATCATTCTGGCAAAGATCCAGCACAGACATAATGGGTTAGTAGCTTCCTTGCTGTGCTGCGTTCATTTATTGTTCAAACTACTATAGAACATTCTCATAGATACACTCACTAAGAAGTGTTGAAGAATATTTATTGCTTAAATACTGACCTTTTTTTTGAGCCAATGCATGTTACATCTTGGTGTTAGCAGTTCATTTAATCTCAACAACAGAAAGAAAAATTGGGAAATTCTGCATTTTACTAAGGATAAGAATTTTGGTCCCAGTATAACTCCTTGTGTCCATTTTCATTGAGAGTTAATGTTTGTGCAAAGAGAAGAATCAACAAAAGTCCTCATTTCATGAAAGTACTTCTTAGTGAAATTAGAAAATTACACATGCATTAAGAAATTAAAACTGTTCAAAGCATAATCATAAGGATCTCGCTCTCTCTCTTTCTCACTTAAACTTCCCATTCCTGTCACTCTCACACCATCCCTAGACCCGATGCCCAACTACATCCATTGCTTTGATTCTCCTTTGATCTCCACAAATGCACAGCTTTGAATCACAATTGCAACACAGAACGTCCTGAGTGTCGGAGGGTAAATTAAGGTTCTGATTTATTCCTGAGCTTTGTGCACAAAAAGATGTTTCTTACCCGATCGCCTTTAGCACCCGGCAAACCAGCTGGACCTGGAAGACCAGGATAGCCAATATCACCAACGGGACCCTACAATGCTCAGGAGGAGGAAAAGGAAGTCATGGAATTAAATATTTGTGTTGGAAATATCATCCATCATTTAGAATGAGAGCTATCATTATTAGAAAAATTAATGTTATTTATGCCCTTCTTATATCACCTCAAAAAGATCAGAAATATATTGCTTTCACTGCTGCTGGTTTTGAAGATTATTCTCAACCTTTCAGCATTGAATTAATTTAGCATGTATTTTAACATTCTTCAGCAGTCTTTCTGACCTTGTATGTTTCAGCTCACTTTTACGTGATTTTCTTTTTTGCCTGTGGTTTAAATTCCTCATGAACAGTGAGCTCTTTCAGTTCAATCTCCTGTGGTATGGTTCTGCTGTTGCTGTATAAATACTGTCTAGCAAGGAGTAAATAGAACCATTGATGGGGACTTCCCCCTTACTTGCAGTACAGAACTATACTGTTAACGGTTCTAGGTACAATATGCCAATTGCATTAATGCAACAAAACTCACCCAGAAGAGTGACATGGATAAGTGAGATTCTTAACCCACTACTTCCTACAACCTGCACCCTTCCCTCTAATCCCAAACCCCTGCAACTCCCACATCCCCATATTCCAGGAGACACCAGCGGAAATGGCGTCACTGAAAACTGGCAGCAAGGTTTTCAAAGGTGATGCAGGTCCAAGGACAGATTAAAGGTGCCACTAATCTGGAGATTCACTGGCTCCACATTGGGTTCTCCAGTTCCATGCTATATGAGTGACAAGCAGGGCTATGGCTTGTGGGATCAAGGGGTGACACAACTGTCACATTGTGATAATGCCTCATGATAAAAGGAGTTACAGTATCTTTTCCTTTCATTGCTAATCACTGGTTACGGGACCAAATTGTTCAAAATGTCAGGGTTTTGATTCCAATTTTTATAAAATGCTAGCAGTTTGCCAATCCCCAATTGTGCCTTTCTAGGAAATGCCTTGCAATAGTGTTTCACACCAGCTGTACTGGGGGGCAGTGGCCTAGTGATAATTTCACTAAACTATCAATCTAAAGCCCCAGACTAACTTTCCAGGATATGGGTTTGAAACCCAGTGTGGCAGATGGTGCGTTGAATTTGATAAACATTCAAACTGCTGTAAAAACCCATCTGGTTCTATACTTTAGGGAAGGAAGTCTTTGAGTCTACATGTAATTCCAAAGTCATTGAAATGACTCTTAAATGTTTTCTGGGTTTTTATGGATGGGAAATACATGCTGGCCCAGTGATTTAAAAAGAAGTCCAATACAATAAACCGGTGTCTCTTGAAATTCATTTAAATGTTGCTTCAAGTACCAGCAAGAAACCAACAGGGTAGGGCAGTGGATGTTGTCTACATGGACTTCAGTAAGGCCTTTGACAAGATCCCTCACGGCAGGCTAGTCATGAAGGTTGCAAGGGATACAGGGAGAGTCAGCTAATTGGATTCAAAATTAACTCAATGGTCGGAAGCAGAGGGTGATGGTTGAAGGTTGTTCCTCGGACTGGAGGCCTGTGACTAGTGTTGTGCCACAGAATCAGTGCTGGGACCTTCGTTATTTGTTATTTACATAAATGATCTGGATGTGAATGTAGAAGGCACGATTAGTAAGTTTGCGGATGATACAAAATTAGGAGGTATTGTTGATAGCGAAGAAGGTTATCAAAAATTACAGAGGGATCTTGATCAGATGGGGAAGTGAGCTGAGGATTGGCAAATGCAATTCAATATAGATAAGTGTGAGGTGTTGTACTTTGTAAAGTCAAACCAAGGTAGGAGTTATACAGTAAATGGTGAGGTCCTGAGGAGTGTTGTGGAACAGAGGGACCTAGGAGTACAAGTGCATAGTTCGTTGAAAGCGGCGCCACAAGTGGACAGGGTGGTGAAAAAGGCATTTAGCATGCAGGCCTTCATTGGTCGAGGCATTGAGTATAGGAGTTGGGACATTATGTTAAAATTGTGTAAGTCGTTGGTAAGGCCGCACTTGGAATTTTGTGTACAGTTTTGGTCACCTTGTTATAAGAAAGACAGTTAAACTGGAAAGGGTGCAAAGAAGATTTACGAGGAAGTTGCTAGGACTAGTAGGCCTGAGTTATAGGGAGAGGTTGGCCAGGATACGGCTTTATTCCTTGGAACATAGGAGAATGATGAGTAACCTTACTAAGGTGTATAAAATCATAAGGGACATAGATAGGATGAATGCATATAGTCTTTTACCCAGGAATTGAAAACTAGAGGGCATAGGTTTAAGGAAAGAGGGGATAGATTTAAGAAGGACTGAGGGACAACTTCTTCACAAAGAGAGTGGTGCCAATATGGAATGGGCTGCTGGAGAAAGTGGTTGAGGCAGATACAATAGCAACATTTAAAAAACATTTGGATAGGTACATGGAGGAGAAGCGTTTAGAGGGATATGGACCAAATGCTGGCAGTTGGAATTAGCTGAGTGGGCACCATGGTAAGTATGGACTAGTTTGGGCCGAAGGGCCTGTTTCAATGCTGTATTACTCTACTTTATGACTCTGCTTTCCGGAAGTTTCAATTTGACCGACAATTATGCCAGTCAGCAAAGTGGTGTCGTCACTGGGATCGTGCAGTCTACCTCTGGTCCACTGTCCCATAATGAAACCAAAACCTTAAACTGTGATAATGCTCTAAGATTAAAACACTTACTTTAATGACCTTCGCTTCCTTGACATTAGTCCTTAACAGTAAATACCCCTAATATAGCATGAATAATTGTGAGCAAAAGACCCATACTGGGTCTTGAAATGAATACTCTCATCTGACAAAACATTTTATTTTCAACAAATTGCATTGAACTCATGCAACATGGTGTTTGTAATGGCATATTAGCACATTCCTTTAAAATCAATTTTGTTATTTTAGTGGCACCATTTCTATATTTTTAGATAGATTGGTGCTTTTGATAATATAGTGAAAAAGCAAACCTACATTCTCAGTTTTTTACTTACAATGTACAGACCAGTAATTAATCCAGCTAGAAAGGGTTTATTGAGCAAGAACAGGAATTACATAAACATTTGCAAAAAAAGGCCCATGTCCAAGATGTATCTAAAAAGGTGAAGAAAATACTCACAGCTGGGCCAGGTGGACCAGCAGGACCAACAGCACCAGGCAGCCCTTGGTCACCCTTTCCAAGATAAAGAAATATGGATAGTGAATTTCTGAATGATTTACAACATGCAATTAAAGCATATCCATGAACACAAAGTAACAACATGAATAAACATTAAAAATTAAAATATACATTATGACATTTGTACTTTGGCAAGGCACTACAAATATGCCAGGTAGTCTATGGTCAATGAAGATTATGAAGCTTCAGTGGAAAGAAGCAGAGTTTTAGATTTTCAGCATCTGCAGTATTTATCTATTGTAACAAATCAAGAAAGATTGTTTCAAAAGTACCCCACTCTTCAATCATTACCTTCACTACCAATTATGTACATTTAGGAAATTTTTCTGATTTCTACCAGATCAGGTTCTGGATACTGAACTGATTGTAACATTCTAGTTCTCACATAATGTTTGGATGACCTTACTCTATCTGATTTTTAAAAAAATAATAGCACCAATAAGTAGTGAAAAAGCTCTCTTAGAGTAATAAAACATCTCAAGGTGTTCATAGAGGTAGACAAAATGGAATTCAACACTGAATCATGTGAGGAGATATCAGGATAGGTAATCAAAGACTTGATCAAGGTTTTAAAGGAGGAAAAAATGGTAGAGAGGCTCAGGGAGATGAAGGATGTGGTAGCCTGTAGATGCCAGTGTGATCTATGGCAAACACATCTGCAATGAATATCTGTGGCTTGAGTCAAAGTCATGGCCTTGATGCTTTTTGTAGCCACCAAGATGCAGGTTTGTGGAGGGAGGTGGGGGTGGGGGTGGGTAGGGGTAGTTATCTATATATTTTGTACCAGATAGCTGTCACATACTTTAGAACAAAGAAAAATACAGCACAGGAACAGGCCCTTCAGTCCGCCAAACCTGCACCGACATGCTGCCCATCACAACTAAAACCCCCTAACCCTTCCGGGGACCATATCCCTCTATTCCCATCCTATTCACATATTTGTCAAGATGCCCTTTAAAAGTTACTATCGTATCTGCTTCCACAACCTCCTCCGGCAGCAAGTTCCAGGCACCCAGCATCCTCCGTGCCTCGTACATCACCTTTAAACCTTGCCCCTTGCACATTAAACCTATGCCCTCTAGTAAATGATTCTTCCACCCTGCACTCTTCCACTCTTCTAATTTGATTCATGGTCAGAGACAAAGGGTGTGACTGTGATTTGGGCAGGTAAGGAGATCAAGGATGCAGAAGTAGAAGAGCCTCAGTCTTCACAATGGCTTTAAGGATCTTTCAAAGAAACGTAGAAAAAGCAGATGTAGACCATTCAATCCTCCAAGCCTGCTCTGCAATTCAATATGATCACCCAACTCGGTACTCTGTTCCTGTTTTCGCCACATACTCTTTGATCAATCTGGTCCTAAGAACTAGCTCTAACTCCTTCCGGAAAACATTCAATGTTTTGGCCTCAATCACTTTTTGTAACAGAGTTCCACAGGCTGACCACTTTCTGGATGAAAATAATTCTCCTTATCTCAGTCCTAATTGGCCTATCCTGTATCCTTAGGCTGTGACCCCTGGTTCTGGACTCCACGACCATCAGGAACATCCCTTTCTTCATTTAACGCATCTAGCCCTGTTAGAATTTTATAGGCTTCTATGAGATCTTCTCTCATTTTTCTAAACAATAGTGAATATAGTTCTAGCCAAACCAGTCTCTCTTAACACATCAGTCCTACCATCCCAGGAATCAATTTGGTAAAATTTTATTGCACTCCCTCCATAGCCAAAACATCCTTCCTCAGATGAGGGGACCAAAACCTGTCACATTACTCTAGATGTGGTCTCACCAAAGCCCTGTGCAATTGTAGCAAGATATCTCTGCTCCTTTCAACTTCAGACTGTCAGAATTCTTTTCCCAGAGTTGAAATGTCTAATACTAGAGGGAATGCATTTAAAGTAAGCGGGGAAAAGTTCAAAAGAGATTTGAGGGGAAAGGCTTTTACACAGTGGTAGGTGCCTGGAATGTGCTGCCAGGGATAGTGGTGGAGGCAGATAAAATAAGGGTGTTTAAGATGCTTTTAGATATGCACATGAATAAGCAAGGAATGGAGGGACACGGACCATGGGCAGGCAGAACGGATTATTCTAATGTGGCATATGTTCCGCACAACATTGTGGGCCAAAGGGCCTGTTCCTGTGCTATACTGTTCTATGTTCAAAGGATGAGAGCAGGAGTTGCAACAAACTAGAAGTGGCACTGTGGTACAGGAAGACAAAGCAATAGTCCAGAGGGCTATGTTGCTTCCCCAGGATATCTGCTCTGGGCTGTTGAGAAACTTGCAAAAGAAGTTGGAGGATCCAGTTGTTGTGATTTATGCTGGGCAACAAAGTGGCACACTAGTTAGCCAGGTACCCAGGTTCGTTTTCAGACTTGGGTGACTAATGTGGAGTTTGCATATTCTCTCCTTTTCTCATGGGTTTCCTTTCACAGTCCAAAGATGTGTAGGTTAGGTGGATTGGCTATACTAAATTGCCCTGTAACGTTCAGGGATGTGTAGGCTAGGCAGATGAGCCACGTTTAATGCAGTGTTACAGGGATAGGGTGGGGAAGTGGGTCCGGGTGGGATGGTCTTCAGAGGGTCAGTGCAGACTCGATGGGCCAAAAGGCCTCTATATGCACTGTAGGGATTCAGCGATTCTATGAAGTAGGTATGAATGACATAGGTAGAAAAAGAAAACAGGTTCTGTTGAGTGTGTTTGAGCAGTTGGGGATAAATTAGCAAGAGGAACCATAAAGGTAATAATCTCTGATTATCACCTGAGCTGTGAGTGCATTGAAATTGGATAAATAAGATCGGAGTTAAATGTGTGGCTCAAAGGTTGGTATGGGAGAAAGAAGTTTGAATTCATGGGGCACAGCCACCGATACAGGAGGAAGAGGAAGCTGTACCATAGGGATGGTCTTTACCTGAACCATGCTGAGTGCAATATCCTGATGAGTTGTATAATTAGGGGAATCAAAAGGGTTTAAACTACATAATGGAGCAGAATGGATAATGGATCAAGTGTGGAAACATTTAATAAATTGAAGAGAGAGGACAAGGCAAGTCAACAAGGTAGCAATAACGGAAATGATAACTGGAGCATAGCAGGAAGTGGCACAGCATAATGGCCAGCAGGTAAGACTAGAGGTTATGAAAATGGTTAAAAGATGAACTAAATACTCAGTATCTGAATTCACATAGTGTTCATAATGAAACAGATAAATTGACACTTCAAACAGAAACAAAATATGTGCAGTCATCAGCCACTTCTGAGACAAGGCCTGGGAGCTGAATATCCAAAATACATCTTATTTGAGAAAGACAGGAAACCAGGAAAGGATGGAGAGATAGTTCTCTTAACTAAGAATGAAAACATTATTCCAGAGAGGGATCTACAGTTCTGAAGATCAAGATATGGAATCCATTTGGATAGAGATAAGAAATAGTAAAGGCAGCTAGTCAAATAAGCACACTATTTATAGATTCCAAACCAAGCTGCAGAATGTGAAATGCAGAAAGAAACATGAGAAAAGTACGGTGATAATCATGGCGATCTACTCAGATTGGCAAAGGTAGCCTGGAAGAAGAATTCACAGTGTTTTCTGGACATGTTCTTAGCGCTAAACATTCTAGAACCAAACAGAGAGCACACAATTCTAGTTCTGATAATGTACAGGACAGATTTAATTAATTATCTCGGATTAAAAGGGCCATTTGGTAGAAGTCATGATTGAATTTGACATTTTATTTGAAGGAGGGAAAAGTAAGTCTAAAACTCATATTTAAGACATAAATAAGAGCAATTAACGAGGGCATCAAGGCAGAACTAGTTAAAGTGAACTCGGAAATTAATTTAAGGACTGACTCAGAGGTGGAATGGCAGAAATATTAGGAGATCGTTAATAAAATTCAGTAATGATACATTCCAGTCAAAAAGAAATAGCTAGGGGAAGGACACACCATCCATGGTTAAAACTATGCAAGTTAAAGAGAGTATAAAATTGAAAGAAAGTGTACAAATTCATGAAGACTTGTGGAAAGTCTGAAGTTTGGAATGACTAAAAAGCAGAGGAAGAAATTAGAGTTTAACAGAAAGTTAGCTAAAAATATAAATACCTCTCGTAAGAGTTTCTACAGATATTTAAAAAATGAAAGAGTGAGTAAAGTGAGCAGTTGTCTTCTAGACAGTAAGCTCAGGAAATTAATAATGCAAAACAAAAATGCATGGATAAACTGAACAGATATTTTGCTCCATTTTCACTGTTGAAGATACAAATAAGATCTCAGAAATATTAGTTAATCAAGAGGTGAAAGTGAAGGAGGAACTTGAACAATTACACTGATCAGGGGAAGGTTACTGGGAACATTATTAGAACTAAATGCCGACTGAGATAGTGGATACGCTGTTTTAATTGGTTTAATTTGTCAAAATTCCCTAGATTCTGGAAAGATTCCAACAGATCGGCAAATAAAGATTTGAATACCTCTACCCAAGGAAGGAGTGAGACAGTAAAACGGCTGAAATCTGCTATTCAAGGGATTCTCCTGTGTTACTTAAAATTTCAACATAATGAAGTAATGTGGCTTGTGAAAGGGATATTGTCTTTGATGAATTTATTAAAGTTCATCGATTGTCAAACTTAAGAACAGGTCTATTGCAATAGTTAACTGTCGAGTCCAGTGCGTTGAGAACGTTTAGTGAATATTTTTAAAAACTGTACACAAACAGGTTAAACTAAAATTATGTTACAAATTATGTGGCAGATGGCATTTCAGCTACAGTCAGTACCAAGTCAAAAGTGAATACCGAATCAAATAAGGATATTCACAGCCATCTGGGAGTTCACATAACTTTTAAATATATATAGAAACACAAAAGAACTTTGAGACTGATGTGATCGCATGCCTTTATCTGAAACCAATCAAAAGGGTACATCAGATTGAGTGGGTCATTCTAAAACAAAGACACTGTGGGAAATCCACACTGCTGTTAACCCACAACATGAGTTG